TGCTGGTATGGTACTAAAAATAGAAGCATCTCAAATGGTTCTGTTGGAGATTATTTTTATGTATACATTCTGTGGAAGGAGAAGATAAAGAACAGTGAAGGATAAAATGGAGGAGACAAGGAAATTAAGCATTGCTGTGCACTGTTTAATGGTAATATGCAAGTCTTTTGCCTAAACTTTTGCATGGTTCTGAGATTTAAAATATATTCATTTTTGTATTAATGAATGCCCACCTCGTCAAAATCTAATCTCTATATCTACCTATGTTCTTTTCTTGTTGAACTTCATCTTAGACTATATACCAAGCATCATCAAGGAATTGCTGCATGATGTAAAGCTGGCAGGAGGGGCGTGGGGTTTTCTGAAAAGGAGGAATTACAATGCTTGCCTCTTATTTTTCTATTAAGTTTACATAAGCCAAAGGTAACTTAAGTGGATTTTGTATAAAATCAAATACTCTTCCCTTTAGCCTTTGAGGAGAAAATATGCACCTCTTTCTGTTTTCTGTACTGGCATGATGGACACTTCCACTATGTGGATTGTTCCGTCTCGAAATCTCTGACTTTAAACCTCCTGCTTTCTCTTCTTTGGCTTCCGCATCCAGTTAACTGGGAAGTCCTGGTCATTCTCCCTCTGCAGTTAGAGCTCACCCTTGCTCTTCCTTCAAGATGTGCTTCCGACATCATCACCTCCTTTAGGAAGCTCTGCTGAATGCCCAAGCCCACTCAGCCCCTCTCCTTTCTATTTCCATAATTCTTTGTGGATACCCATTTTATCAGTGAGCTTGCCAACTTTTGTTATGATTATTGCCAACAAAATTCTCCTAAGGCAGTGGTTCTCAAATTTCGCCACATATTAGAATCACAAATACTTTATTAAAAACCAACTAAATCAGAATCTCTGGAGAGGTGAGACGCAGGCCAAGGTATTGTTAAAAGCAGCACTTCTCAAATTTTAACGTGCATACAGTTCACCTGGGGATTTTGTTGAACTACAGATTCAAATTCAATACATCTCAGGTGAGGCGCAAGAGTCTACAGTTCTAACAAGCTCTCAGGTGCAACAGATAGATGCTGTTTATGATAAGTTAGCTCAAGTTGCCCTCAGATGATCATGTAAAACAATCAAATTCCTTATCTGTATCGATATCTACATCTTAAGCTCAGAAAGTCTTGCCCAATACAGGACCACTTCTTCCTACCTGTTACTCCTACCTGCCACCACCATTTTAGGTAAGTAGAAGTATTGAGACTTTCTGATAAATCAGAATTTGTGTTGTCAATATTTCGGCAATAATTGGCCTTCCCTACTTCTATTTGCATTAGATGCCTCTCTCCCTAACCCTGCCGAGTCCAGGTTTCTGTGTTAACCTTACTGGGCACGGTGAGATGCTGAGGAGCATTAAGACAAGAAGAGGAGAAAGGTCTTGCTGCCAATTTGTGCCTTCAGTTTTAAAGTATTATCTTGTCTATTCACTTCCTTGTTACTCCAGCCTCCAGATTCCATCTTCTGTTACTTCTCGGATGCTCATGACTCTTTTTCTCTCCTTCTACACCTGACAGCCCTTTGCTCCCATGCCCATTCTCACATTTTCCTCACTCCACAATTATCATTGTCCACCCTATTGACTTACTCCAAATAATGGGAACCAGTGAACACAAATAGAAATATAAACATGCTAATAATGGAAAAAATTCTTTCTTCTATTTTTAAGAGCAATTTGCTCAACCACATTACTTTTCCTTGGTTAACGCTTCTACCCATTATGTGTACAGATCAATCTTTTCAGTTTCAAGCTTTAAGGCTAGGCTCTAAGTGACTATTGTTTAGTAGGGCTAATATCATGATTTAAGGTTCTATTAGTCTTTGTACACCTTTATGTGACAATCTACACTCCTATTGTTCCCAGAGGGTACACTGAGGCACCCTGGGGTACAACAGGGAACCCACCAACACAAGGAAATATTTTAAAATTTCAAAGGAAATACAGCAAACTTGAGCTCTGTTGTCTAGTGTGTGCTTTACTAGCTCAGGGCAGTTCACAGTTTCAACAGTAGGTGGTGCTACATTCCTTTCGATGATGTCATATCCTATTTACGAAGCCAGGTTTCCTATGGCACTTGCGAAAAGCAAGTACAGTGCAAAAATCAATGTGGAAAAGGAAACAAGGGGGCAGTATTCAATCTGAGGAGTTGGCAGTGCCCAGTAGGAGCTCACATTTACTTAGGAAGTACTGTAACTGTGGTTAAGAATGAAATAAAAATATTATTTTTTCTGTAAATTGATGTGTAGTTTTTTCAGTTACTTGTTTGTTAAAACATAAAAACTTATTACTTTGTTTGGACCTAACTATTTCTTTTGGCTTAAGGACACTGTGAAAAGAATTATTGAGATGTTAAGGGCATTGTGGACTGAAAAAGTTTTGGAACTTCTGCTATAGTCTTATCTCTTTTTTTTTCCATAAGATTCTTGACCTGGTAGATCCAGATAACCTCATCAGATATCTGTTTTATTATAAAGCTATTAACTGTGGACCAACTTGTTGCCATTTGAGGAACAAACTTTTTTTTCTTTTTAAAAATTTATTTGTTTTTTTTCTATTTTTAATTGTGAAAAAAACCCCACGTTATAGTCTAATCCTTTTGTCTGTTGATAAAACATAACTCCAAAGACAGATTTGGGAAAACGCCCTGTCAATAGTGCAAGAACGCCTCTTACTTGCATCTGATGTAGCAATGCTGGCAACTATGATGACTTCAATTACCGCCCTTGACTTTTTTCCCAGCGAATATTCTCTTATGTGTTATAACGCCAAGGAGGTGGAGGAGGGGCAGATGATGGTGAGGGAGGGAAATTTATCTTGCTGCCAATAAAATATCCAAATCCAACTAATCGAGTTGAAGCTGTGATTGCGAAGGGATTTTGCCATCCTCTACATCCTCTGCATTTTCCACCTACTGAGAGATCCGTTAATTATCTCATTTTACTTTTGCAATGACATAAAAATCAATATTGCACTTTGATGCATTACAGATAGATTTAATAGAATGTATACAATGGATTTTTATAATTAAGAAATTATAATAATAATTTTTTTATGAACCTACTATGTGCCAGCCACTAGTTCTTGTCTCACTTAAACTACACTGCAACTCCATGAGGTAGGCTTTGCTGCATGCATTTTCTAGATGAAGAAACTAAAGCTTGCAAAGGTTAGTAATCTGCCCTGGGTCACACAACTGGCAATTCGCAGCACAGTGATGCAGCCTTGGATCTGCACGAATCCACAGCTCGAAACTTTTCCCCATGGCAGTATTACCTCTCACAATTATAATCGTAAAACTGATTCCTACGAGGTTTTACCCATTGCTGCTTCTAATATCCTGAAATGGCCTCACCTTTCTTTAAAAATACATGGTATTTTTGATGTAAAATGACATCACAAATTTGAGAAGAAAAAGCAGAAAGGAAAAAGGAGGGGTCAATTATTTAGACAAAGCACTTTTAAAAACTTAATCTTCTATGACAATAATGTTATTTGTGTTGTGGAAAGTGCTTTAAAGATCATAAGATTATTGCTCCTATTATTTTCTTTACAACCATTACCCTATGAATGTAGCACTGTTCAAATTTCACAAAGGAAATGGAGTGAAGTACAAGTAAGTGACTGGCTTTCTTCAGGAGTCACACAGCGTGTGAATTTCACAGCAAATACAAGGCTAGACCCTTGGGGATCTGTGTTGATGTTCATTCACCCCTTCACCGAATACTTCCTCTCCTACTTTATTCTACATTAATAATTCACTTCATTGGAACAATGCCGGGTGACCTCAGCCCAAGCCATGGGTAGGTTTCTTTCATTTATAGTGGTAAATACTTAAAGAGAATATTTGCACACGGTTATTTAGGGATATTTTATAACAAACTGAAGTGTGAACATGCAGCCGTTGGAATCTGCAAAATGTTTGTATGATATCCTAAGGTAAATGGTTTAAAATCGTAGCTGTAATCATAAATGAAGACATTTTATCATCTCTTTTCTGTTCATTCCCAGTTTATGTAAAGGGTGTGTGACAATTATTTTTCTTATCAATACCATGTTATGAAACACAGAACCTACAAAGTACAAACTTGTATTCCTGTTTTTTTTTTTACATCTTTGCAGTATGCAGATATTCTGCAACAAAAATGTAGTCGATGATAAAATTTCAGTGGAACCTGCGAGACAGTACAACCAAGCGATTTCCCTGACTCAGCTCCCGGAATCTGTAAGGGCTATCATAAGTGATGCCTCCTCATTCCGCTTCTGGAGTCAATAAAGTGGTTAGATGATATGTGGAAATAACACCTTTACATTACCATTTTTCTCTTTTGTGAACCTTGTCACAGTGAAATCACAAGCTTTTGAAATGCTTGGTTCTTGTCAATTATTTGAGACAAGAGCAAACAGCAGTAGCAGCGGCAGTAACAATAACCCAATCTAAGGCAGGGGTGGGTTTTGAGGACAAAGGGCTCCATTTGCTCAGAAAACGGGATGGCACTGTAGGTAGCAGAGTTAAGAAAGGGTTAATTTGAACCTGGCCAAAGGACTAAAGCTTAGAATGTTTGCTTTCAGAATAAGAAAAAGGAACCTTCCTTTCCTTACGGTTTAATCGCTCTATTCCTATTTTTAATACATCCTACTTTAAAGAATAGCTGGACCACATTTTTCAAGCTAAAGTAAAAAATTAAAGGATTTATGATAATCCTACGCGGATGGTTGTGGGCGTTTCATTTTCAGCTGGAGCATTTCTCTTTGTTGCAGTGTTAACATCTCTCAGCTTCTTGCTACAGTCTTCTTCCTGAAACTACTCAAGTGGAAAAAAAAAAAAAGTCTTACCAGATAAGCAACAATTCTTACTGTATTGGGGGTATAGCTCACATCCTCCCCGTCTATTTACTAGAAGTAACTTCTTCAGGCCTTTAAAACCAGAATGTCAAAGCGCCCAGTGAAATCCTACCTTGCCCACATACTGATAATCCGATCCTGTGTATTCTTCCAACAGAAAGAACTGATTCCACATCCAGCTCCTTTTCGAACGGTTCAGCTCATTTTTGCTGTTTCCAGAGAGCTCCAGGGCCCTTTTCTTTGCTGGGAAACCACTAGTCCTCTTAGATAATGGAGTTGAGAAAGTTGGGTAGGGCTGACCGACCCAAAAGAGCAGCAAGAAGTATGGGTAAGTTCTCATTCTGGTGACACAGTCCCGTCTCTGGGTGGTGGGTATGGGTACCCCTCTCCTTGAAGCACCTCGTTTCACTGCACTCTATCCAGCCTCATTCCTCTTCCCTTCCTTAATGTTCTTTGCTTGGCACTCAGAGGATATCTGGAAAGAATAATAACATATCATGCATTTTTAGAGATGCTTAAAATTCAGTGTTAGAGCAAATAAGCGCTGGAAAAAGAGGACAGAAATTTGAATAGCAAACCAACAAAAATAAGTTGGCTATCAATTTTGAAATGAGGAAAACAGTCTTTCAGATATGCTAAGTGGAAGGCATGTGCCGCGTAGGAAGCTGCTGTTTTCCTTTCTCCTTTTCTATCACTTAAAAATCCTATTTTAAGTAATAGTGTTGCTGTAGGTCAACACGCCAGAGTGGATTATCTCACCACTTTTTTACCTCTGAGGATGTGGGCCGAGATCTGGTTAGAAGAAACAAGTTTGTGTTTCTGATTCTATTTGCATATTTATCCTCATGAACCAGTCTGCAGCAAAGAATATCACAGACAATTTCAATTCAATTGAAAGTGGATAATGCTGAAATTTCGTGAGAGTGTATTGAGTGCCTGTGATGTGTAGGTATAAATCAAGGCAGAAGCTGTTCTGCAGACTCTTGGCTTCAGAGATGTGCTGGAATAGAACAGTCTCGGTCAAAAAAGATTGGAAAAGACCTTACGCCTTCTCTTCAGGAGGCATCTTAGCATATTGAAGTTTCTCAAGTGAAATTTTGTAACAATGATGGTAAACCTACATTTAATGCAGTATTTCCCAAACTTGACCAGGAAACTTTTTTTCCTCATATGACCTAATAACTCTATGGGATGGGTTAATGAACAACCTACAGAATTTTTATTTAATAGAGTATAAGAATTAGGTGCCAGCCCCGTGGTGCAGTGGCTAAGTTTGCACATTCCGCTTTGGCGGCCCGGGGTTCGCCAGTTTGGATCCCAGGTGTGGACTTATGCACTGCTTGTCAAGCCATGCTGTGGTAGGCGTCCCACATATAAAGTAGAGGAAGATGGGCATGGATGTTAGCTCAGGGCCGGTCTTCCTCAGAAAAAGAGGAAGATTGGTGGCAGATGTTAGCTCAGGGCTAATCTTCCTCAAAAAAAAAAAAAAACACAAAAAACCCAAACAACAACAACAAATTGGAAAAAGAAAAGAATATAAGAATTAAATGAACAATTCTATTCAAATTTCTTTAGGAAATCCTAGGCTTTAATCTCTAAATTTTACTTGTATCATAAGCAATCAAGCCTTTATATTAAAATTAGTCAGTTTCCATGTAATTTTCACAGGTGTATCAAATGTATCTGTCACAGAGCAATCGACTGTGGGATGGTCAGAAATGTCAGCTATCATTATACTTGTGGGTAATAATTTTCCATGACAAATATTCTTTTTCAAGGACATAATCTAGCACTTAAAAAATCCTTGGGTCAGATTGCTTGGCAAAGATGTCGCACATTGGTTTACTATTTTATGTAATTAAAGTAATACATGCCTGTATCTCCATCCTAAACTTTTCCATATTTCCTAAAAAGACAAATCCAACAAATTACTCTTTCATCTTACTCTTTGATAAAGGAAAAGTATTTTCTTAAATAATATTGACAAAGAAATGAGTTGCACTGTAATGTAGAAAATAGTAATTAAACTGATACATTCACTCTAAATAAATGCAAATAAAGGAACACGTTCGAAGTAGTCTCATCAGTATTTTCTATTTCTTTGTGTTAGAAAAGATTTGTTCACTCATCTCCTGTTACTCTACTAGGTAAATGTATACGTGACCAGTTTTTTTTTTTACCCCAGCAATAAATAATTTTAGCTACCTAATACGTGGCTTCGTGAAAGCTTTCTGTTAGAATATAAATGAAATATTTCATAGTGTTCAGCATTTAAAAATCTTTGTTCTGTTATTATGTATCTTTTTGACAGCAGGTTGAGGAAGTTGAAAATTCCACAGGTGAGTAAATTAGTACTGTGACAATTAGTCATGCTGGAAAAATGCCAGGCAACAGTATACTTGTCATTATGTGGCCTTGGTACAGGTGTGGAATGACTGATGCTCAATTAGGTGACAACGACTCTTCTCTCTTCTCGTGGATGGTATATAAAGGGCACTGAGAGAGCATATGGAGAAAAGCCCTCTAAAGACATCTATTCATTTTTAGTAGTAGAGATTTCACTGAGGTTGATTCAGTGGAAATTACATTTTTCTTAATTTCCCACATTCTCCATTATTTGCATAGACAAATCCTGCAGTGAAGAATTACACTTCTGCGGCTGCACTCAGTGTGTGCCCCGTGGTGCTGGCAGGAAAGAGGGATGCAGAGAATGGAGGTGTCAGCTGTTTAAAAGGTAGGCTCCTAAAGGCCATTTTAAAGAAAAATCGATCCCTGTGGGTGTTGTGTGCAAACTCTACAAGCTGTTGCCACTTGAATATTAAATATTAGTTCTTTTTAATATCACAGATACCCAAATGTCAAGTATTTCATATTTTTTTCTGCTTAGTTGTTAATGAGCTTTTAAAGTGATGCATATTTAAGCAAGTACGCTAGAACATCTAGTTTTGCTATAACCCAGCAAGTTTTGTATCAGCTTGGCAGGGTGCGTCCTTGTTAAAAACTCAATGTGCAAAATCACTAAAGTTACTAAAATTACTAAGATCCACTCATATTTGGTGTTCGCTTTTCAGAGGGATAGATTTCTCTGTGCGATTCTATAGTTAAACCCAACAAACTGGAAACTGTTGAATATATAACTTAGCAATTCTCATTTAATGCTTCTTAATAGGCAGGATTGCGTAGTGGTTAAGATTATCAATGCTGGAGTCAGACTGCCCGGGTTTAAATCCGGGCTCTGCCCATTAGTTGCTGTGAACTTGAGAAAATTGCTTAATCTCACTGTACCTTAGTTTCTTCTCCTGTAAATGGGGATAATTACAGTAACTACCTCAGAGGGTGTTGTAAGGATTAAATAAGTCATTACATGCAAAACACTTAGTGCCTGGCACTTAGTAAGGAATTATAAGTATTAGGAGTTATTATTATTCTATTACTATTGTTGTTACTATTATTTGCGTTGCCTGTATATAATCCATCTATGGCACACTGTAAAAGTCTGCAAAAGATAGCACAGTTTCCTCTTAGGCTTAAATATTTTTTATCTTTCAAGAAGCATTTCCAAGCAAGTCAAATTGCTTTAAAATTTAAAGAATAGAAAAAAATCTTTAAAAAAAATAAAAAGGGGGCTGGCCCCGTGGCCGAGTGGTTGAGTTCGCGCGCTCCGCTGCAGGTGGCCCAGTGTTTCGTTGGTTCGAATCCTGGGCGCGGACGTGGCACTGCTCATCAGACCACGCTGAGGCAGCGTCCCACATGCCACAACTAGAAGGGACCCACAACGAAGAATATACAGCTATGTGCCGGGGGGCTTTGGGGAGAAAAAGGGGAAAAAATAAAAAAATCTTAAAAAAAAAAAATTTAAAGAATAGAAACACTATAAAAATAAGAATTAGTCCATTTGCTAATTGTTTTCCTTTGTGTGGACTTCAGTTTAGGATTCCACAGTACTAGTGTAAAAACAGAGAAGGGAGAAGCTTTATGCCCACTGCCTGCATGTAGAAGGATATGGGCAAAAAGGAAAGTTCACCGGAGGACGGATTCATTCATAGAATCTATATGTTTTTTTTCCCCTTTCCACCTTTGCTCTGTTCATGTTTTAAAAATCATCTTACTTTATTCAGGTGAAAAATAAATCAGAACTAGCTTCAACTTAGTAATTTTGCCCTGGTAAAGACGGTACTGGACAAAGACATTTTGTAGTTAACATGCTGACATTATTCTAATGTTATGTCGGATAAGAATTTGATACAGTTAAAATGAAAGATATAGATATTTTAGATTATACTTATCTAAAAACATGAAATAAAAAAACCAACGACAAACAATCATACTCCAAGCATGGCCTTAGATGCAAAGCCCAGGATGTTTAAGGCGCTGAATGGCCATAACTTCAAGCAAAGGAAGACAACTTTGAGAAACGTGGGAAGCTGCTGACTTCTGAGCAGTCAAAATACAAGAGAACCACGTGGTGAGTAATAATCAGACGTGCCGGCTCGTTTGGAAGATGTCAGGAAGTAAACCAAAAGGACAAGAAGTAAGGGCATACACAATAGGCACATGAAAAGATGCTCATCATCGCTGATCATCAGGGAAATGCAAATCAAAACTACACTAAGATATCACCTTACACCCGTTAGAATGACAAAAATATCTAAAACTAATAGCAACAAATGTTGGAGAGGTTGTGGAGAAAAAGGAACCCTCATACACTGCTGGTGGGAATGCAAACTGGTGCAGCCACTATGGAAAACAGTATGGAGATTCCTCAAAAAACTAAAAATAGAACTACCATACGATCCAGCCATCCCACTACTGGGTATTTATCCAAAGAGCCTGAAGTCAGCAATCCCAAAAGTCCTGTGCACCCCAATGTTTATTGCAGCACTGTTTACAATAGCCAAGACGTGGAAGCAACCTAAGTGCCCATCAACAGACGAATGGATAAAGAAGATGTGGTACATATATACAATGGAATACTACTCAGCTGCAAAACAGAACAAAATCATTCCATTTGCAATACCATGGATGGACCTTGAGAGAATTATGTTAAGTGAAATAAGCCAGCAAGAGAAAGATAATCTGTGTATGACTCCACTCATATGAGGAATTTAAAACTATGGACCAAGAACAGTTTAGTGGATACCAGGGGAAAGGTGGGGTGGGGGGTGGGCACAAGGGTGAAGTGGTGCACCTACAACATGACTGACAAACATTAATGTACAATTGAAATTTCACAAGATTGTAACCTATCAATAACTCAATAAAAAAAACTGAAAAAAAAAAAAAAGAAGTAAGGGCATACAAAGAACTGAATTTTAAAGTAGCAGTCATGGTTATTTAATCAGGAAAGAACTCGAACATTAGACGCTGGGAGGGGAAAGAATGCAAAACAAAGTAGATATGGTACCTTTTTGCCCCCATCCCCTCATGGCATCAAGAGCAAATCAGTTAGAAATATCAAAAACTCCATAAAAATGA